TCTTTTTGAGACAGGGTCTCGCTCTGCGGTTTATGTTGGCCTCGAATTCACTTTGTAGCCCAGGCTGGCCTCCAACTCATAGCAATCCTCCTGCCTCAGCCTCCCCAGTGCTGGGATTATAGGCGTGCACCACTGCACCCTGCTTAATTTTGATACTAACTACATGAAGGTAATACAGACCCCAAAGGCTAGGAGCTCAGTCCCACAGGACTCCCCCACATCACATGCCAATCTCAAGCCTGAGTACTTCTGACCCACCAGCTATAAATCAGGGGTGCCTTCACCCTTTTCTTGGGCTTGATAATGTGCTAAAATGACTCACAAAACTCAGGGAAACACTTATGTACATTTAGAAGCAATAGTTAGTGGTTTATGACCAAAGATATGAGTCACAAACAGCCCACGGGGAGAGATGCATCAGGCAAAGTAAAGAGGAGGGGAGGTGGAAGCTTCCAGGCCCCGTGGGGAAACCCCGCCTGCCCAGCGCGTCCCCCACCTGGAGCTCTCCCAGGTGGGCTGTTTGGGATTTTTATGCAGGTGAGGGCATCGCGATGAAGTTCTTGGCTATTGGTGGTGGACCCGATCTCCACTCCCTCTCCCCTCTCTGTGGGTTGGGGGGAGCGGAAGCTGGGTTTCAACCCTCTAACCACACACGGTTGGTTCCTCTCCTGGCCAGGCTCCCGCTCCAGGAGCGGCCTCATTAGTACAGACTCAGGTCTGGTCGAAAGTGGGTTTATTATGAATAACAAAAATGCTTCTTTCACACCTATCAGGAAATTCCAAGGGTTTCAAGAGCCCTGTGCCGGGAACTGGGAAGAAAAATGAATGCTTATTTCTTATATCACAACTGACTCTTCATGAGCAAGACGCTGCACCACGTGCTTTGCATACAGAAGAGCCAACTTCATCGTCATTGCCAAGAAGTTAAAGAAAATACCCATGAGCCAGGGCCAGGCGTGGTGGCGCACACCTGTAATCCCAGCACTCGGAGGCTGAAGCAGGAGGATAGATG